TTTTTTATGATTTAAACCAGCAATCATTTTTTAAAAAAAAAAAAAAAAAAAAAAAATGCACAAATTATTTTATATATTTTTGTTTTGCAGGTTAAAGTTTTTTTTAAGATCGTGCTCCTGAGTTAATGTTGGTGATCAGTTTGAATGCATTGTTATTTATTGATTTTATCTACCGGTAATTTTATTTTTCAGTATCGTATGGTTTGACCTGGTCCGTCAAAAAATATTTATAGTTAAATTAAGGATTTAATTTTACTTTTGAATTTCAGATGCACTTGAACTCCTTTCTGTTACAGTTAATAAAGCTATTCTTTGTTGTAAGTTGGTCCATATTTCTTTTTTTATTCTCTTATACCTTAATAAGGGTACAGTGTGATGCAGAGGTGTACTTACAAAAATTTTATAGACAAATGATACTACAGGTATTTATAGTCACGAGGGGGGCCGCGAGATGTTTTCTTCTTCTTAGGGGGGGGCATGACAGAAAATAATTGAGAACCACTGGTCTAGGCAAAGCTGAAATAATTCTACTTGTTACCAGCAAGTTGTGTCTCGTGTGCCAAAGCGATACTAACAGGTTTTGAGTTCTGAAACAGTCAGAATGTTTTATGTTTTATGGTTATTTTGTTTAAATTTTGGATGAAAAAAAAATATTTTTTTAAAAAAACAAAACTTTGTCCTACCTACCGACCCTATGCTTAAATTTCATGTTACCTGAAACACACTATCTTTCTTGTTTGGCTTTAGTTGATCGAAAAGTAGATCTTCGGTCAAAAAAGTTTGGGCACCCCTGATGTATGAAAACGAATGAATACAACATCTTGTTTTAACAAAATACCTGCTGTAGGGTCACTGGAAAGAGTGTTGTCCAAGGCACTTGTAATGGACTGGAACAAATTCATCTTCTGGGTTGGCCCTATAATAAAGTACAAATACAAATAAACAGGACAAAAAATACTTAATACTAATGCAGTACTTGCATAAGCAATATGTTACTGGTGATTACGTCGGATCAAAAGTTGGAAGACTTAAATAACATCTGCCAGATTTCACTCCAACTGGTCGGAAATTCAGAGCGTTGTTCAAATGTGCCAATTGGTTATTCAGAGTTCCCCGAAAAAGGAATGCCGGAGCCCAGTGCTTCATATGGAAATACTTCAAGCTCGACCTTGTGACTGGTTTATAACATAGGCTGCATTTGGAAATGAATGGGAGGAGAGTATGCTCTGTCTCGCCGAACACACACACAGTGCCGTTAGTGCGTCAGAATGAATTTCTGAACGCACCCCGTGTTGACGAAAGCAAAAAAGCTTGTGTGAGACTAAACTTCCGCTTCCGACAATGGAAATGTTTGTCTTTTTAGTTTAAAATGGCCTACCTTAACTAGAAATCTGAGTCGCATTGTGGCCAAAGGTATAATAATGGTGGTTTATTGCGTCATTTGGCCGTGTAAATCCTTGTTGTGGCGTAAGGAAGAGCATGCTAAACTAGCAGTATACTACACATAAGCTGCCATGACTACTACTGCTTCTTCTAATTCTTTCTATTTTCTTTTGGCAGTTGACAAATACTTTGGCAACAACTTTTTTTTTGCATGCAAAAGGTGGGGCATGATGACTACTACTACTACTACTACTATTACTTTTTCTTGTTCTGCTTCTCCTTCTTCCATTTCCTCTTGTAGTTATTTTGGCAGTTTGCAACTACTTTTGATGCATTAGTGCTACCTTCTGCCCTCTGGTGGCAATGCACCAAAAGCATTTGCCAGAGCCAGTAGAGAGTCACCACGATTAGGGAACAGGGACTTTGGGTCCCAGTCTAAGCTCTAATTTTAATACAGACAAGTCTCATCTCATTATAAATTGCAGGACCAGCCAAACTATGAAAAAAAAGATGCAAATTCTAGTCCTGAAAAATACGGTAGTGGTATGACCATAAGCCACACTTTACTTCGCACAACACAGTCGACCAAGGTGGCCGATGGCCGCCTGTAGCGTACGAGGAAGGCCTGAACTGAAAAAAAGTTTTCTATCACTGTGTGTTTTGGTTTGGTCAGACTGGGACTTGTCTCAATGCCAACAATACACAGACAGCCTGCAGGAAAACCCCCAAACGTCATTCATTGCGAGGAAAAATAGTGTATGTTCATCTCTATAATGAGGTACCTTAGGAATTTTTTACTTTTTTTTTTTTTTTCATTTGTATATATTTGTTATTCAGGTGGTCCAGTTCATGTGTCTCGTGTAAGGGCAGTGATGTCATGGTGACTGATAGCAGAAGTTGCAACTCATTCAAGTTTTGGATAGCTACATGTGTGTAAATGACAATGTGTCCAAAGACACACAAGTATACCTAAAGACCCTGTAAACTGAAGGATTTGAAACTAAATACATTAGACATGTTTGAAGATAATTTATGAAAGAATGCACAGATTGAGAACTGTGTAGAGCTCAGATTAAACTGTTTTGCACCATTTTAGTTTTATGTGATTTCTCATCGCGTGTAGCCTGACCAATCTCTATAAATTGACTTTTGATTCAATTAAATAAATTGTTTCCCAATAAGATTTACAATTCAGTATAATCGTGCCATGCAATGATCAGTTGTGGACACTCGGTACAAAACAAGCAGTTCAGTACAGTGACTGACACGTAACCAGACCAGTCATTCCAGACAATTCATTGTTATTACTTTAGAGTACTCCACGCGTAGGGTACGGAATGGAAACTAGTTTTGAATTTGATTTACAAGATTGCATACAGATGTAGCAGTCGTGTCATAGTTGAGTGCATTACTAACACTTAGTGGCACTATAATTATTTTCATTCTCACTTGAACTCCTTTTTATTCCTATTGATCAGAAATCATCTAAAGCAGGGGTCCCCAACCGCCGGGCATTTGGTACCGGGCCGCACAATAAGAACTTACATTAATTTCGTTGTATTTATTTTGGAATACGAAAGATATTTTATTTTGAAAAATTACCCGATTCTCCGTTGCATCCGTTTGTGTCACTCTTGAGGCGCGTCAAACCACGCTTCTCCGTCACGTGACTGATTACGCTAAAAACAAATCGCCGGAGCTTGCTAAATGAGTAAAATAAACTGCTGGAGATTGCAAATGATGGCGGCCTTAAAAGTGCGTTCGAGACAACAACTCTGCCGGTGTTCTGAATTAAAGTTATGGCTGAATACTCTGAGATCGCCACAATGACACTGTTGCTATTTCCGACATGCTACCTGTGTGTGTGAGGCGGGGGTTTTGTGTAGCAACGGCGACTAAAACAAAATTACGAAGTAGACTCGACATAAAGCACACACTTCAGGTGTCATTGTCTCCTATTACCCCAAGATGGGACCTCCCTGTTGCAGAAAATCAAGCTCGGGGCTCGCACTGATTCAGCATTGTGGTGAGTTGACATTTTCATGCACTTTGAATTTGCGTTGGATCGTATTTTGAAGGCATTAAACATTACCATAGCGATCAGAGTGTTGCGGTCAGATTAAACGCTCCTCGTGTTTATTATTACTCTCGAAAACACCACAGTGTTCATGCAGCTCTTACCATATTATTTTGTAGTATTTATCCGCCACACCTTAAATGCCGGTCCGTGAAAATATTGTCTGACATAAACCGGTCCGTGGGGCAAAAAAGGTTGGGTACCCCTGATCTAAAGGCGGCAAATATCCTTATCATCAGATGTCAAATTGCAAATTTCCGATAGAAGATACTGCATAAACAAGTTGTAACAAAATAAAGCTTCAATATTTAAATCAAACAGTAAGTTAACCTCGGATTTGTTTTTTTCTAAGCAAACTGATATTTTGCAATACTTACATTACAGAGACAAGTAATTTAATTCGGTTTTCGTAGTTCAATTTATCGATCGTTCGTGCTATGAGGTCAAGTGGGAAAAGCTAAGCTAGCACCTTACCATATTGTGTCGGGACGAGGTCGGGCTGGAAGGTAAAGTGTGCTGCATGTCTACACTGTGTTTGGGTATGAGGGTCGCAGCTCGGTGACAGTTTCAGCAACGCGGGTCCAAAATGTCTCTGCGGTACGGTCGATACACTGGAGATAGAAAGTTTCGTGTGTGCACCTCGAAGAAAAAGCCGTGCCGCAGCCGCCATGACTGTTGTGACCGCCGGGGCAATTGAACCAAACTACAAAGATCGTGTATAAACGTGCTCCTTATACAAAAAACCTGCATGCTATACAACTTACCTGATACAATAACTTATATGTAACATTTCATTATGTTTATTAAATTTCAGCTTTTAATAAATACAAATGTTCATGCATTTATGTCAATTTCTTCAATTGAATCATGGTTCAAGGAGTGAACCCTCTTCGTTTTACACGAATCTGGATCTCAGATCAATTTATACGCCTGCGCACCATTCCGAGAGTAGGTGTGTTAGGCAGGAGGATTGCGCTCCGCCCCCACGTATTTCCAAAGGGCGCACCGTATTCCTCGGTCGGAGCGTCGAGTTTCACTCCTTTTTGATGCACTCTGAATAACCAAACAGTAAATTTGAGCAACACCCTGAATTTCCGAACGGGAAGAGTGAACCAGTGCGCGCTCGGCGAATAACGCAACCATACCATGGTGTGATTGGCTGGAGGAGGAGGCGTGTGCACATCACTTTTGCATCAAATGGACCCATACCTGTGCCACGGGCTAATGTTGCATTCGCGAAGGTGGAAAGTCGTATTGAACGCGAGGCGAATGTCAACAAATATGCCTGATTTTGATCAACTGTTTGTTGTTCTGGTTCATCACAACACATTTTGACCTCCAGCAAACCTTTTTCGCTTTTATTTGTATAAATAAAAAAAATATCTGAACTTATAAGCATTTCATACGTTTGTCCAAATAACTAAATGCATTGAGATAAGGATACAGTACCTTCACGCATCCAGTATAAATCACGTTGTTTTACGTTAAATTGCTTGGAATAAATACATGTAAAAGTAAAGAGAGAGACAAATGTATGCTAATAGTCTTGTATTTTGTAAATTATATTTTGCCATTAGCGCGTCGATCTCACAGTGCGGAGGTGCAGGGTTCGATTAATAATAATAATAATAATAATACATTACATTTATAAGCGCCTTTCAAAACACTCAAGGACACTTTACAATCAAAACAAGAACAATAAAACCACAGATAAAATTATAAATAATAAAAGGA